GGGGTTTTGCTGATGAGGGCGACGTTGACTTTAATTGGATCCAGACGGTGGTTTTTGTTCGTGAGTCTTACTTTTTCATTTGGGGAGGTGTTTTCACAGAGCCACTGACTGGACACGTTAGGATCCTGTTACTGTTGCCAACAGCGCCCCCTGGCTCTGGGAACACCTCACATCATGGGGTGGGAAAATCACCCACACTAATCCACACAGCTACACACAGACTCCGTGGTTAATCGACCAAAGATCGATCGTTACAAGAAGAGGAAACGCAGTCAGGACTTGATGATGGTTTGGAGCCGACCCGACCCGACCCGACCCGGCCCAGTCTGGTGGTGTTTGGATGGACTCGGCTCTGCTCCTACTGTCCCGCAGACTAATCCAGTTGAGTGCAGGGACAGAGACAGAGACAGAGACAGAGGGAGGACACACGGTTCTTATGTCTAGCCCCTTTTTTTTTTTTTTTTTCTTTCCTTCAGAGGCCTGCAGAAGATCAACTGGAAACCAAACTAAAAGAAGCAAGGTGCAGGGCCCAGATGTGGGAGAGAGCCGAGAGGAAACGGTAGGAAGGATAAGGATAAGAAAAGTGAGAGAATTCGTCATTTTTACAGATAAAGAGAAGAGAGAGAGAGAGAAAAAAAAAAGTCCGACTGATGACAAAAATGAGCAGAGCTCCAGTGTAAACAGAGACGTTCTACTGTAAATCACCCGAGCGCTGCTGACCGTGAGTCGGACTTTCTGCAGAAGAAAAAGTGAGTGAGAGAGAATGGGAATTACAGTAAGAGGGCGATATATCACAGTGAGAGGAGGGCAGTGAAGTGGGAGAGAGAAGAAAAATGTGGTCACACATGAAGGAAGACAGATGGTGAATCTTTGGGACGGAGCTGATTGAAACACGGCCTCAGTGTGGGATTTGGGTCAGACACCACAAACACACACGCACGCACGCACAGCAGACCTGACATCCGCCTCTACCCACGCACGGAATCTTCAGGAAAACAAAACACGATCATTGATATTCAAAGTCCGTGTTTACAAGTTAATATTTAGCTGGAAAAGAAGTTCCTCTGCTCAGAGGAGGAAGACTCCAAACTTAACTATAACGGTGTAGTAACGATGTCAATCATCAGGTGGCGCCTTACGATGACACCGTCATCTGTCGGCTCAGACCTGTGAAGGTGAAGCTAACGCCGCCTGTTTTTACTTCCCTTGATTTTTAAGGATCACTGTTTGTTTTGTTTGTTGCGATCGAAGAAAACGCGATTCCCACAGCGGTTCGTATCGACACACGTGGGAACCAGCAACGTCAGCAACTTCTCATCTGTTACAGTAGGTGGTGTATAAATGAAATATACCTAAAAAGATCCCCCTGGTGGTCTGTCAGTGTCTGTCGGACTCTGAAGATCAGGTGATGATGAAACAGAAGGACGCCGATCCGACGGCTGATTTCTCCGACCGAATCTTGAAGTAATAAATTAACACCTGGTTGTGTTTGAGCGTGGCGGCCACGAGGGTTGGGAATGTCAGGAATACATTAACACCTGGTAGTGTTTCATGGGACACGTCAGTGAGGTATGTGTGTTAGCGTGTGTGTGTGTGAATGAGTCAGAGGCACACTAACATCAGGGCAGATTAATGCTGTCAAAGCCAGCGAGTGTGTGTGTGTGTGTGTGTGTGTCACGCAGTGACCACGGGTCTGCACGCCAGCTTGATTCATCAACGGTCCAATCACAGGAAACGGGACGGAGAGAGAGAGAGAGAGAGAGGGAGAGGGGGAGAGGGAGAAGTCACTGGCCAGATGTGGCTGACCGTGGGGTGAGGAAATTCAGGAATGAAAGAGGAGTGTGTCGATAATGTGTGTGTGTGTGAGTGTAAGTGTGTGTTTGAGACTCACCCACACATCTGGAACCATCTGTGCTGGAGATGTAGCCTCGTGGACAGGTGCAGACGTAGCTGCCGGCGGTGTTGGTGCATTCGCCGCCATCACACACACCAGGGATGGTGCTGCATTCATTAACATCTGAAACACACACACACACACACACACATCATTGAAGAATCTGAATCTTTACATTTAAAGAAACGCAGACGTCAGGATGTAGAAATTTAGAAATGTGAATTTTTGTTCTGCTGTAGCAGATTTTTTTTTTTCTGTGAAGAAATTAACAAGAGAAATAAATCTGCAGCTACAGTTTCTGAAAACCAAATTAAATGAGTGTATTTTCAGCACCTTATAAATCATCACTTATTTAAGGGGATTTAAATTAAACATGACATAGAATGTTATTAGAAAAATATCTCAAGAAACACAAATACGTACAATCTGTTTCGAATCAAGGGAAACAAAGAACTGGACGTAATCAGGACCATGAAGTGGAGAGTCTGCAGATTAATGTCCTGAAATCAGTCTAATGTCTGTCATTATAAGGTTTCCATTATACAATTACTGGGTCCATGGTTAACACATTCTGTGAGAGTGAAACCACCGAGCTGAGCTAAACCTCTCCACACTCAGAAACTTCAACACCGGCTGAGATGGACCCGGGTTCTGTGGACTTTTACGAGGACATAAAGTTGTTTTATTCAGAAAGAGAAGGCGTCTCTCTGCTCCGTGACGGGGGGAAACACAGAGTGAAATACCAGAAGGTGTTGGACTTTTATGACGTGACACTTATGATGTGATACTAAAGGCGTATGTAATTACTACAGCACTGTGGGGCATAATTACAGAAAAGTTGCAGGCGTGGCGGGTGTGAGGCTGAGCGTGTGTCTCCATGCCAGTCTTGGTGTTTGTGCGTGTAGTTGTCGTGTTGCCATGGCGATGTTCGGTTCTGTCATTATCAGGAAACTTTCATGTCAAAAGTAAATCATCGTGGATTTGAAGGTTTTGGTTTTCGGGGGCTGAGAGTTCAGTTTGGAGTCGGGGGAAACTAAGACAGTGAGAAGTATCAGGACCGTGATACTCCTGTCTGGTCTGTCTCTGTCTCCACTTCCTGTCTGGTCTGCTGGGTGGAGTCAGTGACATCACACTCACCTGTGTCTCTGTTCATTAGTCTTTGAGTGGTGTCACCTGGTGACCTGGGTATATAAACCTCCCTCACTCACTCTGTCTTGGATCATTGTTCTGTAGCTGTTCAAGAGTTTCCTGTTCTGTGTTTCTTAGTATTCTGTGTTACAAAGACAATTCCATGCCTTGCTGCAGTCCATTTCTGGTATTTTTTTTTTTTTTTCTGTTGCCTTCTGTTGTCCTGTTTTGTTAATTCACAGTTTGTGAATAAACCTGCTGCAGCTGAAGAAAGTCTCCCTGGTAGCACATTTGCTTCCACGATGCCCTAACATAACGACTCAAACTCGACTCAAAAACATTTGCCAATGCGGCCTGATACACAGTGGTCGACCAGTGTTGTTTTCCTGCAGTATCAGGGACGTAGACTGGAGCAGCTTCTGCTACCAAAGCACTTGACGACACAGATTAGCGCTGAACATGCTAATGTCTCTTCAGACAGTTCAGTGGCAGAGTGGCTACATCAGGGGTTGAACAAGTAGAAATAAAGTTCTATCTCTGAAAGTCATCAGCGGTCGACGGTTGTCTCTGTACGAGGTTCAAGTCCTGGTCTCAGATTTCTCCAATAATTTAGGGGACGCCCAAGACACCACAGATATTTTGGCCCCATCCCATTTCTCCTATTTCCCCCCCCAATACGTACCCCTAAAAGAGGAAGAGTGGTAAACCCCCGAAACCCCCCTACACCCCCCCCCCTCCGTCCACCCCTCCAAGGAAATAGGACTCCTTTTTAAGAATGTTTTACGTCATTAGTCGTCTTTAATGCTGTTAGAAAACAGCTGCTGTCGGCTGTGGTTACATTGTTGTTGCCATGGTTAGAAATTTGCACTTAGGCAGAGAATGTCTTTACTGGTTGATGAGTTGTTCTTTTGTATGACAGATTTTTGACGAAGCCTTGTTGTGGCTGCTAAATCTGGAAAACATGTTTTTGAAAAAAAAAAATTAAAGTGTTCTGGTTCAGATCAAATCCTACATCCTACGAGGTGTGTCCGCTTAAAAGCTCTGGTTCGAGGGTACGTTCGACTGTACGTCATATGGGAACAGTTGGACTCGTGCAGATGGACGAGTGACACGGCCTTCACGTTCACTTCATTTGTTTCTGTCTGTCTGCGTCTTTGTTCTCTTCATTTGTAGCTTGAGAAATGCCCACTCGGAGACTGGCCGACTTCTCTGGCTCTCGCTGAGAACAACATTTTTCAGGCTCTGAATTAATTCCCTGGAACCAGAACCCTGTTGGACGCATGACAGTGTGAAAGGGCTACATGAGGACAAGGGAGAGAGATTTATTCACGTGTGCCCTTCTGTGTAGAGTGTAAATATATATATGTATATATGTGTGTGTGTGTGAGTGAAACACGCCTGTCGGGGGAAGCTGTTCTTCCCCTGCTGACTGAGTGTCTGACAGCAGTGGCAGGAGGCCCAGGTAAAGCTGCGCAGCTCCTGCCAAATGAATCTGGTGTCAGCGTCAACAACAGCCTGCCAGACATTACACTCGGCACAGACGCGCGGCACTGTGGGACCCACTGTGTGTGCGCGAAGGGAAATGTTTGTCATCTGGATGGATGTCTGTGATGGAGCCATCAAATCTGCAGCGTGTGCACAACTGTGAACACACATCTGCCACACACGGCATCGACGTGTGAACGAGTAATTTAGCCGTGTTTTTGCTCTCCCGAACGTGTGAAAATATCTGCATGCGTACTCTTTCGCAGTATGGATGCGTGAGAATCCGACGACGTCAGACGGCAGCAGGGAGGTCCGCTGGCGTAATGAGAACGTCTCTCGCTCCACTAAGTGTTCCTTTGTTCGGCACAAAACAGCTGGTTTTCAGCCAAATGACTGTATT